AGTACCAACAATAGTTGTTATAACTTGTGTCTAGATATCCTCCCAAAGCCACATGTGGTCATAGGTGAGGGAGGTGGCTGGATCTAGAGTGTGTGATGCTGGAATTGATTAACAGTACAGTGCTGTGCCCAAAGGCACTAGGGTTAAGGGTGTGAGTGCTACCAGCCCTAAGTAGTCTGCATAAGACAAAAGGGACAGAAAGACACTGTTAAATTCTCTTATTGCTTTGCTATTGTGTGTCTGCCATGAACTGTTGTCCTTCTGCCAGCTTTGGAGCCAGCTGATTATGGACTGAAACCTTGACAAGCTGTAAGTTTAACTTTGGGTGTCAGGTAATTTGTCTCAGTAACAAAAGAAAAGTAACAGAAATTTAATACCAGAAAAGTGGGGTCATTGCTGTGACATTACCTGGCCGTGTGGCTCAAGAGCCTTTGGAACCGGCTTGTGGGAAGGGGAAGAGTTAGGAAAGGTTTGGAGATGCTGTCTGGAGAAGTAGAACTGGGACCTGTTAGACTGTACTGTCCAGGAGATTCTGGTCAGAGCTCAGAAGACCAGAAAGCCAGTAAAGATCAGGTTCAAGAGGTTTCTGCTGGGAAGGACTGCAGTGGCCATCAGACTCCAGACAGTGTGTGTTATGGCTTGGCAGAAAGCTTGTCTGCATTTTTCATGTCCAGAGACTTTGCTTGAGAATGAGATTAAGGGGGGTGGCGAACTAATTAATCTCAGAAGAAATTTCAAGGCAGGCTAATGTTGAGGCCACGGCATGGCTACTGTTGGGGGCGTTTAGCCAGGTCTATGTTGAGAATCAAGAGCAAAGAGTCCAGCAGAATGATTTAAAATGTTTTGCATTTGGCATAAAGGAAGATCCAGTAAAGCAGTAAAGCTGTGGACTCCAAAGACAGAGTAGAGGAAATTTTGATTGCTGAGAAGGAACAGGAAAATAGAAAAGATGGCCTGAGGGCATCACTAGAAGCAGCCGGACTCCATCCTGTGTGCCTCAAAGTTGTAAAAGTGGGCCGAGGATTTGGCTCAGTGGGTCTCCCACCTGCCTGGCAAAAAACAAGGGCCCGAGTTCAATCCCCAGTACCAAAAAAAAAAAAAGTAAAAGTGAAATACGTGAAAGAGAGCCCCAGAGCACCATGTTCCAGAATGGCCACAGCCTAGAGTTTGCTCCTCAGAATTGGATTCAGAGTACTCACTGACCCCTACAGCCAGGAGAGGGAAGACTGGCTACTACTGCTCCAGTAGCCGTTGTGGTCATCCACATGACTGGTGTTAGGTGCAGGCAGAATGGAGGAGCTGTGGGGTCAGGAAGGCTTCCACATTTCAGGAGAAGGAATGGGAATCTAGGCAGTGCGCCCCTGAGAGGGCATCTCTGAAGCTGTTAGTGAAGCCAGAGGTGCAGTGGAGACCCCAGAAGTTTGGAAAAGCCAGGAGCATGGGTCACCTAAGGAAAACTGTAAGGAAGGAACAAAGCCAAACCCAGAAAGAAGCCAGAGGAGGAGCTACAACCACCAAAAGTGCCATAGGGGCAAGGCCGCCCAAGCCCTCTGAAGTTCATAATTTGCCACAGATTGCTGGGGATGCTGGAAGTGAAATCGTGGGATTTAATGTTTGCCCTGCTAGATTTTGGACTTGCTTTGGTCTCATTCCTTGGTATCTCCCTGTTTAACTTTTGGAGTGGAAATGTCTATCTTATGCCATTGAATGTTGGAAGCGTTTAATTTTCTTTCATTTGTAGAGGGTGTTGCAGCTAAGAGTTTGCCTTAAATCTCAAAGGAGTCTTTGGAACTGGATTTAACAGCAGTGCTGAAACTGTTAGGACTTTGGTTACTCTTGGAAGTGGACTAAATGCCTTTTGCACAAAGGGATGTACATGAGTGTTTGGGGCCAGGGGTAAAATCTTATAGCTTGTGTCTAGATGTTCCCCCAAAGCCTCATGTGGTCGTAGGTGGGGGAGGTGGCTGGATTGAGAGTGTGTAATGCTGTAATTTATTTATAATGCAATGCTATGCCTGAGGGTGCTAGGATTAAGGGTATGAGTGCTACCTGCCCTTGCCTTTATTTAATTAAATTAATTAATTAATTTATTTATTTTTGTGGGACCCAGGTATCCAACTCAGGACCTTGCTCTTGCCAGGCAGGCTTGGTGCCACTGAGCTAAATCCCTGGCTGTATTTTTTGAGACAGGAGCTCACTGTGTAGTTCAGGTTGGCCTTGAGCTTACTATGTAGCCCAGGATGGCCTCCAACTCCTAGAGATCCTTCTGCCTCAGCCTCCCTCCCAAGTGCTGGGATTACAGGCTTGCACCACCATGCCCAGCTCTTTTAATACACACACACACACACACACACACACACACACACACACACACGACTTTTTTTTTTTGCTTGCCTTTTTTGTGGGTCTGATAGAGGTTCTCTTGAACTACATCAGATCCTTTATATACACAGTTTATCAGTCTTGATCAAACAAGAAAATTATTCTGCAACTTATAAAACTTGGTCTTGATCTCCATAGCATTCTAATCTATTGAATCTCTCTCTCTCTTTTTTTTTTTTTTTTTTTTTTACAGACTGTCACTATGTAGTTGAGATTGACCTGGAACTCACTATGTAGCCCAGGCTGGTCTCGAACTCAGAGAGATCCTCCTGCCTCAGCCTCTCAAGTGCTGGAATTACAGGTGTGCGCCACCACGCCCGGCTCTTCTGCCTTTCTTACCGTGCCTTAACCTCTGGGTTCACATGACTTAGAGCTTACTGTATTATATTGAAATCAGTAATTCACATGTTAGTCTTCTTAGTTGAATAGTAAATTTTGTAAAAACCAAAAATAAGTCTCATTTTTCCTTATAGCCCCAGTGCTATAAGTGTTAAACACAGAAAGGAAGACTACACTACTGGGCTTTATTACTTTTGTTAAGGAAGAAGCAAGATTTCTTGCATTTCTAGTGTATCTCCATTCTGGCAATAATATCAGAGTGATTTTTGTTGTTGTTTTGTTTCATTTTTGTTTTGAGATGTAATATTGCCATATTGCCTAAACTGGCCTCAAATTCTTAGGCTCATTTGGTCCTCCTCCCTCAGTATCCTAAGGAGCTGAGCAACAGATGTGCACCCCTGTGTCTACAGGAGTCTTGGTGTTCACTTGCTTGTTTTCAGTACTGGGGATCCAAGCAAGAGCCTCAGTCATGCTAGACAAGTGCTCTTCCACTGAGCTACATCCCCAGTCCGTTTCTGTTTTCGAAGTGCTGGGGATCCAACCCAGGGCAGCATACAAAAATGATAAGCAGGTGTGGTACCACTGAGCAGAACCTCTGGCCCTCCCAGAATTATTTTTATTATTTATTTATTTTTAAAATAAATTTCATTGTACTTTGTCCCATCACCCCAAGTCCCCTCCCCTCCCTATGTAGAAAAGCTTTGTTTCCATTTTTTCCTTCTATTCTCACTTTTCTTTTTGCATCTTTCCTTCACCCTCCCTCCTTCCTTGTTTCCTTCCCACTTTCACACTTCCTTCCCATTTCCCAACATCCAATATACATCTCAGTCTCAGTCCTTATTTCCACATTCAGTTTCTCACACCAGAGAAACCATGTGGTATTTAAACATGTGTGTCTGATTTATTTCACTTAGGAATGTGGTCTCAAAGTCCATCCATTTAGCTGTAAATGTCTGAAGGTCATCCTTTATGGCACAGTAGTACGCCACTGTATTAAGAAACCATGCCTTCTTTACCCACTCGTGAGTTAATGAGCATTTTCTAAGATTTAGCTATTACAAACTGTACTTCTGTAAACATGGGTGTGCATATATCACTATGGTCTCTTTTTTTTGTTTGTGCTGGGGATTGAACTCAGGACCTTGCGCTTATGAGGTAGGCGGCAACACCACTGAGCTGAATGCCTGGCCCACACTGTGGTATGTTTTTAATTCTTTTGGGAAGATACCAAGAAAAGCTCTGATTATAATTTTGTACTTCAAAGACTTCGGGGAACCATTGCCTACTGTTTCTGAGCTTTGTCATTCACATTCCTCTATAGTTCTTTGTGTTCCTGTAAAGTTTTGGGGGCAGGGATTTAGTTCAGTGGTTCTGCCGCATATGTCACAAGCCCAAGGACCCAAGTTTGATCCCTGGTACAAAAAAAAAACAACAACAACAACAACAACATAAATTGGACTACTTGCTCTTGCCCCTTTTTTATAGCTCCATGCTTCTGTCAGCATTGTGTCTGGACTGTAGCTGTCAGTCTTCAGAAATTCGGTATAATGTTGCTTCAGTGTAATAATGCTTTCTGTTACCCTGCCTTCTCTTCTCATCTTCATCTGCACTCTTACTTAGTACATGTAATGTGGTATGGCGTTATTTTCATGCCCCAGTAAGTGATTAATCCCCTGAGTAAAGGTTGACCTTTGTTTTCTCTGCTGTTTCTAATTTTTGCATTGGATATATATTACATTTACTGGAAATTAACTTTTGGTATTTTAGTTTCAAGGAAACTGGTCAAAACAACTGTCAGAATTCTTCCTCTGCATTGATCTACAGATAAATACATTCAAATAAGAAACTGTAGGCCTAAGCAATGTATTTATTCCTGGAACTTGTGTTTAGGACGATTTTTTTTTTTTACAGGATGACATCTGTTTTCACTTTTTTTTTTTTTTTTTTTTTTTTTTTTTTT